ACTGGGGACACACTGGGGACCCTGGGGGTGACATTGGGGACATGGGGACACGGGGACTCACCAGCATGACGACGCACCAGTTGAGCACCCCCCGGTAGTTGCTGTAGCCGCTGGCCGAGCTCAGCAGCGACTCCTGCACCTTGTGGCACCTGGGGACAGCCAGGGGACACGTGGGGACACGTGGGGACACTTGGGGACACCTGGGGGACACCTTGGGGACAGCTGGGGACAGCTGGGGACAGCAACGGGACACCTTGGGGACAGCGAAGGGACACCTTGGGGACAGCGAGAGACGGGGCAGACACCTTGGGGACACCTTGGGGACACCTTGTGAGACCTGGGGACACCTTGGGGACACCTTGGGGACACCCTGTGGCACCTGGGGACAGCCACAGGGGACACATGGGGACACGTGGGGACACGTGGGGACACCTTGGGGACACGTGGGGACAGCAATGGGACACCTTGGGGACAGCGAAGGGACACCTTGGGGACAGCGAGAGACGGGGCAGACACCTTGGGGACACCTTGTGAGACCTGGGGACACATTGGGGACACCTTGGGGACACCTTGGGGACACCCTGTGGCACCTGGGGACAGCCAGGGGACACATGGGGACACTTGGGGACAGCTGGGGACACCTTGGGGACATCTTGGGCACACCTTGGGGACAGCTGGGGACACCTTGGGGACACGTGGGGACACCTTGTGGGACCTGGGGACACCTTGGGGACACGTGGGGACACCCTGTGGCACCTGGGGACAGCCACAGGGGACACGTGGGGACACTTGGGGACAGCTGGGGACACCTTGTGGGACCTGGGGACACCTTGGGGACACCTTGGGGACACCCTGTGGCACCTGGGGACAGCCAGGGGACACGTGGGGACACTTGGGGACAGCGAAGGGACAGCAGGGGACACCTTGGGGACACCTTGAGGATACCGTGGGGACAATGAGGGATGGCTGGGACACCTTGGGGACAGGGGGGACACCTTGGGGACACCCTGGGGCAGTGAGGAGGACACCCTGGGGACACGCAGGGACACCTTGGGGACGGGGGGACACCACGGGGACACCTTGGGAATGGGGGGGACACCTTGGGGACCCTGTGGGGACACCACAGGGACACCTTCGGGGACATCTTGTGGCACCTGGGGACGGGGGGACACCCTGGGGACAGCGAGGGGACACCTTGGGGAGATCTTGGGGACACCTTGTAGCACTTGGGGACACGTGGGGACACCTTGGGGACACCCTGGGGACAGTGAGGGGACATGCGGGGACACCCTGGGGACAGGGGGGACACCCTGGGGACACGCAGGGTCACCTGGGGACACCTTGGAGACACCTGGGGGACACTTGGGGACACCTTGGGGACACCTGGGGGACACCTTGGGGACACCCTGGGGATAGGGGGACACCTTGGGGACAGCGAAGGGACAGCTTGTGGCACCTGGGGATACCTTGGGGACACCTTGGGGAGATCTTGGGGACACCTTGTAGCACTTGGGGACACGTGGGGACACCTTGGGGACACCTGGGGGACACCCCGGGGACAGGGGGACACCTTGGGGACAGCGAAGGGACAGCGGGGGACACCTTGGGGACACCTTGAGGATACCGTGGGGACAATGAGGGATGGTGGGGACACCTTGGGGACATGTGGGGACACCCCCAAACCCTCCCAGGGGTGAGGGGACACCCAAAGGGGTCCCCAAGGCTTGGGGACATCCCCGGGGGGGTGACACAGGTGACACAGGAGTGACAGAGGTGACAGAAAAGTGACAGAGGTGACACAGGAGGGGACACAGAGGGACAGGACCCCCCAAAAGGGACCCTGGGGAGGTTTTGGGGGGCTCTGGGTGGGGAGGGGACACCCAGAGGGGTCCCCAAGGCTTGGGGACACCCCCGGGGGGTGACAGAGGTGACACAGGTGACAGAAGAGGGGACAGAGGTGACACAGGCAGGGACAGGGCGGTGGCAGCGCCAGCTCCGGGTCCAGAGTCCCCCCGATAAGATAGGGGTGATCAGGGGTAATTAACAGTAATTAGGGGCGGATTAGGGGGGGCAGGGGTGGCACCAGGGTGACCTCTGACCC